TCCCCGTATCCCCGCGCTGACACATCCCCGTATCCCCGCGCTGACACGTCCCCGTATCCCCGCACTGACACATCCCCGTATCCCCGCACTGATACAGCACGCACTGACACAAACTGTGTCCTGGCGCTGATGGAGCACCGTCCCTGAGACATCACCGTATCCTGCCCCGTGGCATTGAATGAGATGGACTGAGGGGAGGCAAAGTCCAGGCTCAGTGTTTGCCCAGTTGTATAAGATATTGTTGGTCAGTAACATGAAGTGGTGTGGATACTGTTGATTTGAGAATATTGTACGGATTTATTGAAGAGCTGAGATGAAAGCCTGCAGTCAGCGCTGCCTAGTGAATGTGTCACTGCTGGGTTACACCGTGACTATCTTTCACATGGTATTCCCCCAGTTTTTGCCTCATTCGTGAGACCCCACTCCTCTCACAGCAAAAACACAGCAGGGCTCCCCTCAGCAAGCACATGCAGAGCTCCCCAATCCTCTCTCTCTCTCTCTGTGCCGCTCGGTCTGTGGCCTGAGAGACTCGGGGGGCGGTGGATAAGCTGAAAGCGGTATTTTCTGGGAAAGACCCTTTGCGTACCAACTCGCTGGGCGATGTGTCAGTGCCGGGATACGGTGCAGGGCTGGATGAACACAGCAGGCCAAGCAGCATCATAGGAGCAGAGAGGCTGACGTTTCGGGCCTAGACCCTTCATCAGAAAAGGGGGAGGGGAAGGGGGTTTTGAAATAAATAGGGAGAGAGTGGGAGGCGGATAGAAGAGGGATAGAGGAGAGGATAGGTGGAGAGGAAACAAACAGGTCGAAGAGGCGGGGATGGAGCCAGTAAAGGTGAGTGTAGGTGGGGAGTTAGGAAGGGGATAGGTCAGTCGTGTCGGTTTTGGAGTGGCAGCTGGGCGTTTAGAGCCCGAGCAGCTCCTGGCTCCTCACCAGCTTTGACTGAAAGGTTCAAACTGAACAACAGGGCAGCAGAGGAAGCTTTGGAGCTTCTCCTTCAGACTGAGCTATCACTTACACTCCCGACTGTACGCCAGCTATTTCCCCCGCCCCGAGGGGTCAGTCCTGGAGTGTTGGGTGGATGTGAGGGCTGACTGATGGCTGCTTGGGGGTGGTGGGGAGTGGCAGGGCGGGCTATAACATGGGATTCCCACACTGAAGGAGAAGAACATGTGCAGAAACGCAGTGCAAGGCTGTAGGCCAAGGGTGCGACTTGCTGTCATCGGGGAACTGTGGCACATGCAGATCCTCTGTGTGCAAAAACTTCCAAGTACGTGACCTGCATTCACCAAGCGCCTTGAACATCCTCCCACCACCCAACAGGCCACTCATGATGTGTGTCTGACTTGTGCCCACCTTTCCTAACTCCACAGACGTTGGCCTGTGACACCACACCCCGCCCACCACCACGCCGACCCCTCCTGGCGCTGCCCCCCACTTTGCCCCTGGAGGGGGCTTCCAGGGATTTTCAGCGCTGGCTAAACGGCATCAAGGCGACAACAGGAGACCCGGCGAGGCTGAGGTCCTGGATCGATGGGTTTAAGGAGCAACTGAGAGGAGGAGAGAGAGAGAGAGAGCAGTGGATTTCAGAGGCGTGTTGTGAAGCTCCTGTTGCCGATTAGCCCAGCGAAAGCCACGGAGCAATGAGGCAGAGAATGAAGCTGCCGATCTCGGGACGAGTTGCTAATGAGGACAGGTAGTAAGTTGGACTTGTGTTGCTGAGTATTGCAGAGCCAGCTTGCAGCTTGCTGGGAGAGAGGCAGCACACACACACACACACACACACACACACAGTTTTTAGTGAGTCACAGGCCGAGCTTGGGATGAGGTCAGCCACGGGAGAGCAGGCTCGGTGGATTGGATCGCCCTACTGCTCACGGTTCCGATGTTCTTGCTCTGCACAGCAAATAATTCTGCCCTTCGCAGAGCCGGAGCTCGGGAGTAAAACAGATGGTGCAGTGCCCCGAAGTTAAAACACTTGCAAGGGTTGTGTTGAGCCCTGGT